TCAAATGTTTTGTAATGTTTCTATTCAAGATATACTTTGTAAAATTACCATCTTCCTACTATTACAACTTCCTATGTCTATGAAGGGATTGAATTATATATAAAGCTCAACTTTTTTTCAAAACATATATTTTTTAGCTTTCATATAAAAACTTGACATTGTATGATTAAGAAAGGAACAAACAGTGATGAACTTAGGCAAAGCTTCTATAACCATACTTTTTCCCACCGGAGCGTACTGCTTCAAGTAATCTTGCTCTCGTACAGGCTCCTGTGGCAAACTTTTGGCTGCTAAACATTGTTGTCCCATAAGTTCAGATTTCTCTCCACCGGAAATACTGGTTGCCCAATCAAACTGCTAGTTTTCAAACCCCCTGTGAGCAAAGGACTGCTTAACTTTATATACTCCCAGAAATTAGCACATAGTTCTCAAAAATAAGGAGTGAATTTAAATGTTGGAAACGTGCAGCAGTGAGTTTTTAAAAATGTGTTTTAGAGCCTTGGGGACGGCGGGGCGGAATCTGTCCTAGGCTCCAAACCTGCCGAGGCTCACTCTCCTACCTCTGGGTCACTTCACGTGTGCTTCCGTAACCTTCACTTGTCATTGGCCGCTGACCTGATGCCGTGCTACACTTCATTGTCCTGTTTACTCTTTTCAGAATTATTTTCACAGATTTACTTATTCCATCAAAATGTGTACTTTATTTCCCACGTATGTTTAATTTAGCCTCACATTTATTTGAAACCATTATATGAATCAGTGTATGCTGCAGTTTCCAAGTGGTTTAATCTTACTGGCCTGGTCATGTAGTGCATTTTATCTAATTGTTTCAGTCCTGTAATTAGCAAAGTGAGGATAGCATTTCATAAATCGGATACCCATTAAAATCTGTGAACAAAAAGATGAGTATACATGTACTTGTGTGTTTTTCTTTATTTTTTTTCCATCACCATTTATCCCCCGTACCCTCTTCCCATTTACTTGTTTGATTTTTTAAACAAAATTGTAAAAGAAATTTGGTAATACTAGAATAAAGTAATACAAATATTGAAAAGGATGACACATGAAGAGTGGATCATTTAAGGAAATGGATAGCGGAGGATGAGTGTGTGTGTGGTACAGTGAGGGAGTCCCCGTGAATCCAGGGTCAGGTGGGCAGAAACGTGAGCTAGGCAGAGTAGACAAAAGTTAACTAGCATTGCTAGGAGAGACTCCAGGCCAGCTGCATGCTATCATTGAACAGATAAAAAGGCCATTTGCTCAGGACTCACCCAGTCGGGCACATCCCACCATGTGGACCAGTGGTCGAGGTTCCATGGTGTATTGACCACTGAGGGCAGCCCATAGCGCCTACCTTTACGATTCCCCTACTACATTATTAGTTGCCTAGGAAAGGTACATGTACATGCCTTACCTCTAACTCAGATGAGCTCTTTGGGAGAAGATCTGTGTCTTTTTCTACCTAGTTATACTTGCATGTAATGCTCACATTAATAGGACATCAACCTCACAGGCCTAGGACCTTCTAGGATCTCCTTCGTATTGAGGTGGCTCCCAGACTATAGTATCAAACCAAACACTAGCATAGTGGTTACAAATGCTCTCTAGAAACCAGAATGCCTGGGTGTGAATCCTGGCTGTGTGGCATTGAACAAGTTACCTCCTCTCTGTGCCAATCTTCCTGTATAAAAGGAACCTGAGTGCCTATTTTACAGAGTATGAAGAACTAAAGTTTCTAGTACAGATACTTGTAGATGCTTGTGCTGATTTAGTTCTGATGTTTAAATGGTCTAAAGTTCTCTGGAAACCTCTCAAGCACATTGGGATCCCGTTAGTTGATTGGAGCCTCACTGTCTTGGATTAATTTACAGTACAGAGAATAGCTAAATCTGTTAGCATAATGAAGATAAATGAGAGAAATGTATTCTGTAACTTTAAGGATAAGGCAAAACTATGTGTTTCTGTTGGGAGTTACCTTCAGGGAACCAAATATTTGTATAGTCCCAGGACAGTCTCGAGATCAGGCAAGTACCAAGCTATCAGAAAGGTCCATCTGGTCCCCAACCTTTAGTCTCAATGTCATCTCAACCCAAAGAGTCTCTGGCTTACAGCCTCTGCTGCTTCTGTGCCATGTTCAGAGCACAGGAACCTTGAAAAGACTGCCCTGGTCCTGGTTGCTCTGATGGATCAGGCTGAGTCTTGCTGTTCACATTGGTGAGAAGCAGGCTGCAGGTCCCTTCTCTAGCCACTTACACTCTTACTCCTCTCTCTTCCCATATCAAGGGAACAAATTTCTGGCTTGGGGAGCAGGGCCCTACTCAAGCCAAGATATTTAGTCTCTTCCTGAGACTTCCTTGCAGAGCTTGGATCTATTTCTACTTTCTGCTCTGCTACATCCCTGCCCTGAGCCAATGGATAAGGGTGACGACTGCGTAATAGGTAAGAGGAGGCACAGGAAGCCCTATGGACGTGGTTCAGGAACAGGAAAAACTCATGCCCTCCATCTGCTCCTTACTGCTGCTTGATCTGGGCAGGTCAGTCTGCCATGTTTAAACCAGCACTGATGATTCCTGCCCCAAAAGGTTGTGAGAATTAAAAACATCATATGGTGCCTTGGCCAGTGTAGGTAAGTAGTTAAGAGTGTCAATCTATGCACCAAAGGGTCATGGATTTGATTCCTGTCAGGGTATCCAGGTTCGAGCCCCAGCCCTGGTGCATGCAGGAACTATTTCTCTCCCTCTCTCTCTCTCTCTCTCTCCCTCTCTCTCTCTCTCTCTCTCTCTCTCTCTCTCTATATATATATATATATATATATATATATATACACACATATATATATATACACACACACACACACATATACATATATATGCAAATTAACCATCTGCTACACCCACAAGCCACATCCACCAGCCAATCAGGAACGAGTATGCAAATTAACCCAACCAAGATGGCTGCGGCCACAGAGCAAGCAAGGAGGCTTGGGTTTCCCCAGCAATGGAGGAAGCCAAGCTTTCCCCACATTCTGGCCTGCCTTGGCCTGCACTAAAAGTTTCAGTTATAGAAGATAAATAAATCCCAACAAGCCAAAGCTGGTTTGGCTCAGTGGATAGAGCGTTGGCCTATGGACTGAAAGATCCAGGTTCAATTCTGGTCAAGGGCATGTACATAGGTTGTGGGCACATGGGGGTGGTGGGCAGGAGACAGCTGATTGATGTTTCTCTCAGATGTTTCTAGCTTCCTATCCCTCCCCCTTCCTCTCTGTAAAAAAAATCATATATATATATAATTATTATTATTATTATTATTTTAGCCCAACAAAAATGGCTGCAGCCACAGAGCCAACAGGAGGCTTGGCTCCGCTCAAGGCTACAAAGTTTCATTTCTAGAAAATAAGTGAATCCCAGATGCCAGGGGCAACCCTAGCTTCCCGCTCTTTCCAGCTCCGTGGCTGCCACCATTTCTGTTTGGATTTGTTTACCTTCTATAATTGAAACTTTATAGCCTTGAGTGGAAGCCTAGGCTGGCAAAGGCAGATGAAAAGCTTGGCTTCTTGCCTGGAAAACCCAAGCATTCCTCCTGCTCTCTGTGGCTGTAGCCATCTTGGTTGGGTTTATTTGCATATTCACTCCTGATTGGCTGGTGGGTGTGGCTTGTGGGTGGTGGAATGGTGGTTAATTTGCATATTACTCTTTCATTGGGTAGGAGATGTGTGCATGGGGAGGCAGGGGGGTGGTCTCTCAGCATGGCCAGCACCCAATCTGGGATCCCTTGGGGGATGGTCAGCAATTGAACATCCCTCTCACAATACAGGACCACTGGCTCCTAACCATTCATCTGCCTGCCTGATCACGCCTAACCAGTCCCCCTGCCAGCCTGATCGCCCATAACTGCTCTCCCCTGCCGGCCTTATGGCCCCTTGTGCTGCACTAGCACAGCCAGGTTCAGTGAGCCTGAGAGGTGAAGGATTAAGAAAAGACAGCCGAAACCGGTTTGGCTCAATGGATAGAGCGTCAGCTTGGGGACTGAAAGGTCCCGGGTTTGATTCCAGTCAAGGGCATGTACCTTGGTTGCGGGCATATCCCCAGTAGGGGGTGTGCAAGAGGCAGCTGATCGATGACTCTCTCATCAATGTTTCTAGCTCTCTATCTCTCTCCCTTCCTCTCTGTACAAAATCAATAAAATATATTTTTATTAAAAAAAAAGAAAAAAGAAAAGACAGACAGACAAAAGAAGAAAGCTGGGGCTGGGTGGGACGCTGCTCTCCCTGATGGAGAGTCAGCAATAGCCTGCAAGCCAAGTCTATTTTATAGCTAGATCCCACGAGGCAAAGTAAGGGCATGGTTACAACGTTCTCGTGAGTTCTGAATCTACTCAGTTACATGCACCTGATCAAGCTTTGTTTACTTGGTGCACCTCCCACAGCTCATATCACTCAGCCATGCGGGACCACAGGTTTGGACCATAATCTGTCCAAACACTGTAGCGGCTCTCCACAGCCCCTAACTGCTCTTTTCTACCAGCCTGATCACCCCTAACCACCTCTGGCTTGGCCCCCCCCCACCACCACCTTTGGCTTTGTCCCGAAGGATGTCCCGAAGACGTCTGGTCTAATTAGCATAGTGTCCTTCTATTAGTACAGATGTATATATATATATATCTGCCCCCCCCCTTCCACTAAAAATCAGTGAAAAAAATATATTCTCAGGTGAGGATTAATACACACACAAAAAAACATAATAGGGTTGCCAAACATGAAAGTCTCCTGCCTCATAGCAAGGAGCAGAGTCCTGTCTGTCTCCTCAGCAGCCAGCCCAGATCTGGACACATGAGAGGCAGGTGGAACTGGTGGAATCCATGGTGAAATCTAAATCACGATTGAAATGCCTAACGTTGTTATTTAGTCGGGCCTCCAGCTACTACCCGTTGATGCCTTCATTTAACATGTCCATTTTACCCCCTTCCAGGGCAGAAAATATCTCTAAATGTGTCAAAGAAGGTTAGCCAATAAATATTTAGTAAGCTCTACTGGGGCTCCAGTGAGAATGTAGAGAAATATAAGGCATGCTTACTCCCTTCAGGAAGTTTATAATTTAGTTAGAGAAACAGGATATGCAGGTTAAAGGCCAAGACAATAAAGAGAAGTAGGTCAAAGGACATCTCAAAGGAAGCCATGAGCGGGAGCCAAAGGAGAGGAGCAGGTGTGTCAGGACACTCAGCGGAATTGAGGGCCATTTGGGTTGGGGTGTCCTGGAAGCCATCGCGATGTGACAGGGATTGGAGGTGGTTTATATTAGGTTGTCTTCACCTGCACACAAAAAATCAAAATCTAAAGTACAGTAAGGGGTAAGAACCTCTGCTGTCCCATGTAAAAACGAGCCTGGCATGCAGCAGCTCAGGGAGAACCCAGTTGTTTCCACCTGTCTGTCCTGCCGGCTCAGCATTCGGTTTGTCTTCAGGCTGGGTCCCCTCTTAGGGAACCACAGTTCCAAGCTCAACCACTTGAAGTAGCACAAAAAAACTCTCCAAAATCGCCAGCCAATTTCCCCTCATTTCTTGGCCATATTGTCACATGTCAAAAGGAAGGGAATTACCAAAATTGGTCCAAACTAGTTAAGATTCACCCCTGGGACTGGTGTTGGGGGCCCTTCCCTGAGTACATAGGAAGGGAAGAATGTACATCCTAGTACATTGGGTTTCTTCCAGCAAGAAAGAAGGGAGGTGAGATTGCTTTAGAGAGGTAACCAGTAGTGTCTGCTGCAGGGGTGGTTTGGGAATGAAAAAGGATTTGGCAGCAACACAGCATCCTGGCCCTAGCCGGTTTGGCTCAGTGATTGGAGCACTGGCCCCTGGACTGAAGGGTCACGGATTCCATCGCTTACCTCAGTTGCAGGCTCGATCCCATCCCAGTCGAGGTGCATGCGGGAGGCAAGCCATCGTGTGTCTCACATCATTTTTTCTCTCTGTCTCTCTCCCATTCTCTCTGGAATCAATTAAAAATATATCCTCTGATGAGGATTAACATCAACAGAAGAATAGCATCCTGGACTCTGAAACAGATTCTAAACCCCTGTCCTGTTAGTGACCTGAGCAAGTCAGTTAACTTCAGGAAGCCTTAGTTTCCTCATTCTGAATTGGGATAGTAAGTCCCTACCTAGATGGTAGCTTATATGAGGACAGGGACTTGAGCTTTGTGCCTAGAAAGTACTCAATTCCAATCCATTTAGCGAATGAATTCATTCATTGTGTTAGTTGAGGATTTAATGAGTTAATGTATGATAAGGGCTTAGCACAGTACATAGCCTATGTGTTCAAGAAAGTCAGCTTTTAGCCATTTAGAGACATCGGGAGCCCTCCACCTGTGTCCATTTGCTGCTTTTAACGCCTGCGCTGCCAGACCTATCACTAGTCCTTGCTCATGCGCACTGGGGCGTGTTGAGACTGCTCCTGGCAGACAAGGGCTGGGATGGCAGAGACCCCTCACGTCCCCTGCTGAGGAGAGGACTCACTTGTGATCCAGCCCCTGGGACTCTGCAGTGTGTCACTGCTCTGACCAGTTTCTGAGCCGCCCCTCACATCGCTATTAATGCCTCAGGGTCTTTTTCATCCCGTCTCAGCGACAGCCCAGCCAGCCCACCTTTCCCCGGCTCCGACAGAGATGGTCAGCTCGCCCACAGAGGCTGCTCCCTAGGAAAGGCCTGCTCCCAGCCACCGGACTGGGGAGTGAGTGCTGGCCCCCTCCTGCAGTCTAAGGGCCTGCACAGTCCCACAGAGACGAACGCCATCGGAGGCGGCACACCTAAGGTCACCAGACATCCTGTTTTTGGCGGGACAGTCCCGATTTTTAACAATTTGTCCCGCGTTCCACGGCGTTTTAAAAAAGTCCCGATTTTCTTTCCAAAAACCGGGACTTTTTTAAAACGCCGTGGGACGCGGGACAGATTGTTAAAAATCGGGACGTCTGGTCACCTTAAGCACGCTCCTTTTCCCTTTCTGCAGCACTCGGCCCGTCAGAGCAGGTGTGGTCAGACCCCAACTGCGTGGCCCCTTCAGGCATCTGTGCAGTGTCACCCACCCACAGTCGGGTCAGAGCTGCCCCAGGAGTGCCTGCCTAGCCACAGGGGTGACGGAGAGCCAGGGCAATACTCTGAGCCTGACTCCTCATCTGTACAAATGGGGATCATCACATTGACCTTTGGTGTTCTGAGGGTTCAATGAACTAACAGGCGGAAAGATCCTAGTCACACTATGCTGGCACATGCCAAATATTTTGTAAACAAGCCCCTGAGTACCCGAGCTGCTGGGCCTTGTGGGCTGGTGGAGGCTCCAGGACAAGCATCTTCCCAGAGGCTGCGCGGAAGGAAGGTCCGGGTGAGGGACACACACCCCTGCACCTCCACCATGCACGAATTTCATGCACCGGCCTCTAGTAGTTCATAAAAGTGTTTTCAGCTGCTGCCATCCCATCCCACCTCAAAAAACCAAGTATTTTCACACTGCCATTCACCCTGGAAAAGGATCCCATTACTCGAAGCATACTGTTTCTCCTGAGGGGAAACTCTGGAAGTCATCAGCAGAGTCCCTAGCCGGGGTCACCCCTAATGCTGGTGAGATTCTGGTCTGGGCTCCCCTCTCTCCTGCCCCCTATAGCACTGTGATGGACTGGGCAACATGGCAAGACCACTCTGACCCTCCCTTCCCTTCTCTGGGTGTCTCCCCACGACCATGCCACTGCCACACTCTCTTCTGGCTTCCTGCAGGTGCCCCAGAGGCATGGGGACGCTGAACCAGCTTTTCGGGACATAAGCCCTGTTTTCTGTCAGCGCTATGGTCCTTCGCCTCCTCCCCCTGCCCTGCCCCTTGGTCCACGCAGGTTCTGCAGCCGAGACTGGCTATTGGAATGCCTCCACGTTCCCTCTTGGCTTTTAGGCAGAGGGCCAGCCATGGGCCTTCGGATCAAGGCCAGAGTGGCAGCAGCCAGGCCAGTCCCAGCTGTTGGGTGTGACTCCTCCCAGGCTTTTCCTGTGTGCTCTAAAGGAATGAGTTCCTGGAGAAACCCCCCAACCTGCAGCCCAGTAGGCACTCCTATTCCATGGAGCATGAGAGAAGCCCCCTGCCAGCCCTCCCCCACACAGCTGGCCCTGCCCCCAGGGCACTTCATTACCCTGGCTCTTCCACGCATGTGCACGCTCAACTGGATGGAAGGGGGAATGGGGTCAGAGGAGCGGACACAGAGGTGCCCAGAGTGTCCCTCTCTGACTAGGCCTGTAAGCATCCTTCCTACGGGACCTCCAGACTTGACCTGGTCGCCCCCCCTTTTGCTGCCAACACCTCGGAGGCTGGAGGCTGGGTGGGTACCCTGGAGGCATCTGCTCCCCAGGCACCTCGCCTGCCATGCAGGAAGCCTTTTGGGAAAATCTCTTGGAGATGAGGCGCCTGCCTCCGGCCTGGCTCTCCTGGAGGCCCGGGCGGAGGGACGCCTCTGAGGAAGCAGCCGCCTTGGAGTGCAGGACGCGCCTCCAGTGACAACACCTGCTGGATAATCCAGGCTTTCTCTCTGGAGCCTGCCCAGGCGTGGCTGACAGGAGGTGAAGGCAAATAGAATCTTCCTCCCTTCCCGGCCCTGCGGAGCTGACGAGTGCAGGCAGGTGGAGGCAGGCCCACTCCGCCAGCAGGAGACCTGTGTAAGGCACCCTCTCTCCGTGCAGCACAGAAGGTGGGGAGTGTGTAGAAGGATCTAAAGATCTGGAAAAGTGTGGCAGTGAAAGGGAATTTTTCCCACAAGCTAGAACCCTAGACTTGGTTCTGAACCTTCATTCTTTGGGAAAATCTATGAAGCATTAGTTCAGGAAAATTTTAGGGCTTCATTGTCACATGGCCTTTCTAAACATATCTCCAGATGATTCTTTTAAAACCATGCAGTAAGACATCGTTAATGTGGGCAATCATCCCAGCTGAACCTGACTCACCGAAACGGGCAGATGAGGCAAGTTGTTTTTGAGGCTGTGAGTATATATCCATTTTCAAAAACAAAAGAGCTTCAAGTGAAAGCCTTTATTAAGAAATTGTTGCCGAAACCGGTTTGGCTCAGTGGTAGAGCGTCAGTCTGCGGACTGAAAGGTCCCAGGTTCGATTCCAGTCAAGGGCATGTACCTTGGTTGCGGGCACATCTCTGGTGGGGGGGGGTGCAAGAGGCAGCTGGTCGATGTTTCTCATTGATGTTTTTAGCTCTCTATCCCTCTCTCCTCCTCTCTGTAAAAAAATCAATAATATATATATATATATATATATATATATATATATATATATATATATATATTTATATATATATATTAAATTGTTGCCCTAGCCGGTTTGGCTCAGTGGATAGAGCACCAGCCTATGGCTCGAAGGGTCCCGGTTTCAATTTCAGGCAAGGGCACGTACCTCAGTGTGTTTCTCTCACATTGATGTTTCTCTCTGTCTTTCCCTCTCTTCCACTCTCTCTAAAAAATCAATGAAGAGCTGGGACCAGTTTGGCTCAGTGGATAGAGCGTCGGCCTGCGGACTGAAAGGTCCCAGGTTCAATTCCAGGCAAGGGCATGTACCTTGGTTGCGGGCACATCCCCGGTGGAGGGTGTGCAAGAGGCAGCTGATCGATGATTCTCTCTCATCGATGTTTCTAATTCTCTATCCCTCTCTCTTTCTCTCTGTGAAAAATCAATAAAATATATTTTTTAAAAATCAATGAAGAAATACCCTTGGGTGAGGATTGAAAAATAAAAATAAGGAAGAAAAAAAGGAAGAAAGAAATTATAATATAAGGACATCATCTGGCTGATTTGCATTGTTGCAACCTAGAGAGCCAAGATTCAAAGGCAGAAATGCCTGTGGCGGCACCGCCACTGCTGCCTTGACTAAATTACCTGCGCGGACAGCAAAGGGAACAACAGGCCGTAGGAGGGAAAACAAAGTGCCAGTCCTGCTCTGCCTCCTGTGTCCAATATGGCTTTGCTGAGTCACCTAATCTCTGGCCTGCAGTTTTCTCACCTGGAAAGAGGGGTGGGGCTGATGATCCTAGAATCCCTCTCAGCACCGTAATTCACCATATTCCAAGTAGGGGTGGCCAGAGCACAGAACCTCTTCAGATGTTCATTCATTCATTCAACAAAGATGCTCATTTGCATGAGCATCTCCTATGTGCCAAGCACCATGTGGGAGTCCTGCCCTAGAGCGCTCACGGCCCACTGGGATGAGCAGAGGGGTGTCCACTGGGATAAAGGCACAGGGCACACCACTGGCCCAGGAGCAACTGGCAGTCAAGCTCCTCAGGGTTTTCTCCAAAGGCTGGCAGATCGCACACTCCCCTTTCCACAACCTGGGAAAGAAATGGATCTCAGTTTGCAGGTATTTTCCACCAAATCAAGAAGTCATGCAACATTATAGAGCAGAGGAATGAGACTGTGCAGGCCATCCGTTTTCAGAAGTCCATTGCCGCGCCCAGCAGGGCTGGGTTCGGGATCTGAAGGAGGAGCCAACACACAAATGAAAATGCACAAGAAATAATGCACAAGGGATTGGGAACCAGGTGGAGCCTCTTTCTTGAAGAGACTTCTGGCCTGGTCCACTATTCATTTACTTGAATACCTTTTAGCAATGAATAGAGGCATATTAAAGGTAAAGTTTGGTAAGGATTGTCAGGTTAGGGAATTGCCTTGAGCCACCTCCATCTCAACGGAGCAATTGGTCCTTAGTGCTGACACCCAAGGTCCCTCGGCCTTCCACATTCCTTGGTGACAGTATTGGTAGGTGGTGGCTTCCTGCAGTCCATGAAGACAAGAACATAGGAATCCACAATGACAGATTAGGACACTCAGAAACTTAAAATTATTAGAAAAGGTGCCAAAGATGCTGTGGTGACCTTTGGCTGGTTTGGGGCCCTCAGCACCCTTTCCTTTAGAAACAGCACCCTAGCCGAAACCGGTTTGGCTCAGTGGATAGAGCATCGATCTGGGGACTGAAAGGTCCCAGGTTCGATTCCGGTCAAGGGCATGTACCTTGGTTGTGGGCACATCCACAGTAGGGGGTGTGCAGGAGGCAGTTGGTCGATATTTCTCTCTCATCGATGTTTCTAGCTCTCTATCCCTCTCCCTTCCTCTCTGTAAAAAATCAATAAAATATATATTTTTTAAAAAGAATCAGTACCCTAAATCTTCACCACATTGTGTCTTGTGACAGAAGCACTGTGCCCAGGCTACCCTCCCCACCACCAAAAGTGGCTACCTGACCTGAGGCAGCCAACCAGATGCACCTGCTCTGGGACCAGGTGTGGAGATGCACTAGGCAGAGTGTGTGGTGGGAGCACTTCCGTCCATGTCAGTCCTGATGCCTTGAGTCCTTGGGGCTGCCCTGGCTTCTGTCCTAACTTGATGCTCCAGACTTCTCATCGGTGCTAGGAATTAGTTACCTGATGGCTATAAAAAAAAATCTTTCTTGCTCAAAATGGAGTTAAGGTGGACTCCATGGCTGTTAGTTGGAGGACCTGACTAATTGAAGTTTTTGTGATTAATGCCATGTGCTCCAATACTGTGCAGTTCAATCAAAATGTCTATGTGTTCAGCTTGAGACCTTTGTACAGGGGGTGACTGAGGTCACGGTTTTGGGAGATTAATCTGCCACCAGTTGGTGGGTGGATAAGAATGAGCAACGAGCAGCACAGTCATGACAGCGAAGAAGAAAATTCGTGTTTGTTGAGTTCTCAGGAGCTTTGTTCATTTAATCACCCCCATTTTATGGATAAGGACATTGAGTTTAGTTGGTTGAATAACATGCCAAGGCCACTTGGTTGATGGATAGCAGAGCTGGGACTTGAAGTCAGTTCAGTGAAAACTCATAGCCTGGGCTTTTAACCAAACACCAAGTTGCTTTACTATGGAAGAAAATGTATGCGTTTTCAAAAATAATATGAGCAGCCTACTGCCACCTGGGGAAATAAGGGCCAGGTTCCCACTGGTCAGCAGGAGCTGGCCGGGCAGGGGTCAGGGTGGCACCTGCAGCGAAGCGGCAGGGTGCTGGGCTCCGTGGTAAGCTTTTCCAGGTTGACAGTCACAGCCACAGAGAGGACAGTGCGCCCCCCCTCCCCCCCCAGTGTGGTAAGTGGGGAGAGAGGGTTAGGGAGTCAAAACTGGAGCTTGGGCACCCACAGCTGGATACCCGGAGAAGGAAAGGAGGCAGGAGGCCGGGGGAGAGAGAGGGCACCTGGGCGCGCTCAGGGTAGCTGACAGGTGGGCGATAGGCGCATGCGCAGAAGAGCTCAAGCGACTCACCTGCACACGCCCAGGTTTCTGATGCGGGGGAGGGGGCACGATTCGATGGGGCGGTGGAGTGGCTGGCTTCACTGGTCCCTGCAAACCCAGATCACCAGCCTTCACGCTGCCCAGCACCCCCGGTGTGCCATTCACAGCAGAACCAGCTGAGCCCCGGGGAGGGAGCTCAGCCAGCTGTGGTCAGGCCCGCGGGCTCTGAGCTTCGCAGCGCGGCGGGGGCGGGAGCCTGCGGGTCTGGCTGGGAGGCCGGGGGGTGGGGGGGCTGGGGGAGGCGCCCGCTGGTTCCCGCAGGCCGCTCTTCCTCTCCCTCCCGCTCAGTGAAGGAAGGCAGGGGAAGAAGACGCTTTTATAAATAGCTCCAGCCCCAGCTGATTTGTAAATTAAGTGGGTGTTGGTTTTGTGTGTGTGTGTGTGTGTGTGTGTGTGTGTGTGTGCGCCAATGACATCACTCTCCTCCCCATGGCAACGCTCGACGATATCAGAATTGCCAAGCAACGTTGGAGCAGGTTGCTGCTCGAGGGTTTAATGGAGAAATCCCAAAGTGAGCCGGGGCGCCCGGGGGAGGAGGCCGGAGCCCGCCGCCCGCGCCGCCCGCCCGGCCGCCCTGCGCCCGCCGCTCGCACCCGGTCCTAGCGGCGCCCGGTGGTCCCAGCCGCGCCCGGTCCAGCCGCGGACGGCGGGGAGGGGCTGCCCGGGGCCTGCCTTGCCGGGAGCCGGAGCTGCCATCCAGGTGACTAAGCTGGCCCGCTGGCTCTGAGTCACCTGCTGGCCCGGAGGGTGCTTCCTTTCTTCGCTTTTTCATCCGATTATTTTGGGAGCCGGGAACTTGGAGCTGCATCCGAGTCCCGCCCCTTCCAGCCTCCCCTCCTCCCTACCTTGGGCTCCGAGGAAGATGGGACCTGCCGACCTGCCGAGACCCTGCCACTCCCTCCTACGGTGACAGCAGACGCGGTGGGGGCCGGAAGTGCCCTGGGAGCGCCGCCAGCCACCCCAGTGCAATAGCAGATATGGTGATCAGGCCGCCTCGTCCTCCAGAGGTGCCGGGAGAGGAGGGGCGCCTGGCCCGTGCCGGCGGGATTCCTCCCGGGCTGGCTTTGAACTCACCTCCCGCGAGCTGTTTCTGTAAATGAGTGGCTTCTAGGGCCAGAGTGGCGTTTGGAGAGCGAGGCTGGATTGGCTTTGGGCCGACCTGGGCAGGTAGGTAGCTCCGTGCGGGGTGTGGCCCCACGTGTGTGTGTGTGTGTGTGTGTGTGTGTGTGTGTGTGTGTGTGAGAGGGTGTGTGTTGTCCCAGGGCTGAGGACAGCAGGGGGGCCACAGAGAGCTGAGAGTGCAGGATTTCACTGCCGCTGGGCCAGCCAGGCCCTGAGGTGGGTGCTGAGGAAAAGGGGGCACAGGTACCCGGCCTGACAGGGTGAGAGTGGCGCCCGCTCAGACAAGCCCAGGCCCTCTCCGTCCGCAGCTCAGACACGCGGCATTCTGCCGAGGCAGGGAGCGGTCCGAGGGGCAGGCCGAGGACGGAAGCCAGCCCGCCCGCCGTGGGGATGGCACATCGCTGCTCCCTCTTCTGACAGCCCTGGGCACTAAGGAGACAGCTTCCCACCGAGGAATTCTGTCCCTCGCCCAGGCAGTGCCCGTCAGCATCCGTGTGTGTTCTCTTCCACGCTCACAGGGGTGTGTTTCCTGAGAAGAAGGCTGGCCGGGGCACAGCTCCCCCCTGCTCAGGGCCCAGCCAGGGGCCACGGCTCAGCCTGGCCCCCGCCCCCTGGCATGCTCCAGTGCGTGGGCCCCCACTCCCCCACACAGCTGGCAGCCTCAAGGGCACACCGGAGAGTAAGCTGCCGAGGGAGGAGGCGGTGTGCCCACAGAGGCAGGACGACACCGACCAGGAGCCCCTGGGAGAAGCAGCTGGGTGAGAAAAGCACTGAGGTTTTCTTTTTCTCTTCTTCCCCCCCTTTTTGCCTGAAGGGAGTGGCACTTCCTGGGCTACAGACAAGCGCCAGCCTGCGTGGGGAGCTCCAGGCCGGGCTGCCCGGAGGAGCCGTGCGGTAAGGTCCCGGCCACCTACCTGGGCTCGGCCGCCGGGCAGGGGTGGGGATGTGGAGGTGCCCGGGCTACGGGCCATCTGGGACAGGGACAGCAGCTGTGGGTTCCTGTGGGCCCCATCCTCCCTGCCACTCCCTTTCCAGATCGATTTTTAAACATCCCAGGCCAAGCCGGCCTCTGGCTTCCCGGTGAGAGAGAGAAATGCTTATTTCTTTTTTTTTAACTTTTCTTAAATATATTTTATTGATCTTTTACAGAGAGGAAGGGAGAGGGATAGAGAGTTAGAAACATCGATGAGAATCACTTGTCAGCTGCCTCTTGCACACCCCCTACTGGGGATGTGCCCACAACCAAGGTACATGCCCTTGACCGGAATCAAACCCGGACCTTTCAGTCCGCAGGCTGACGCTCTATCCACTGAGCCAAACCGGTTTTGGTGAGAAATACTTATTTCTGCTGTTCCCGCCTGTGTGGGATCCCTCCCTCCCCTCCTCGTTCCTGTCCCTCCCCTCCTCCCCACCGGGCCGAGCCTGCGCCACCAGGATGGCCTCTTAAGCTACCACCTCCAGGACACTCCCCTCTGGTATTCATCCCACCAATATTTGTGGAGCGTCTTTGGGCCCAAGCTCCAAGTCCTGCCCCTATGCAGAGCCTGCCCGGGCACAGACTCTGCCTCTGACTCGGTGGGGGCCGGGTCCAGGGCGCCCGGCGGAGCCGGGAAGGCCTTGGGCTCCTCACCTCTGCGGCAGGTGGCAGCGTCCTGGCCTGCTCCAGGTGTCAGGCCCAGTGAGCTGGGTGTTCAAGGGCTGGGGCCCCACCAAGAGGCAAGGCTAGCACAGCGGTCTGTGCTTTCCCTGGCGTCGCACCCCGAGGCCTTTCCCTGCGCCAGGAACGGGGTTCTGAGAGTTGAAGAGAAGCTCTGGGCGGTGGGCCCTTGGGTCCCATGAAAGCTCATGGAGCTGGGAATCAGGCCTTTGGGCCGAGCCAGGGGTCCCTCTGCAGATGGGGAGTGGCTGCCGGGAACCTCCGTGCGTCGTCAGGAGTGGTGAGCGCCAGCAGCTAGGCTTCTGTTCTGGAAGCACTTGATTTGGGCGGGAAGCGTGTGCCCCTGTGGTAGCCACAAGGTGGGGGTGTGGGGGCTGCATGGGTCCCAAGGACAGACTGACCCTTGTGCGCGGAGTTCCCAGGACGTGCCAGGCGTCGGGAAGGTGCGGGCAGGAGCAGCACATGTGCCCACATCTGCCTCCAGGGTGAGGAAATCCTGCTCCCCTCCCACTGCATAAGGTGACTCCAAGCCTGGGGGCGGGGGGAGTCCCCCGTGTGTGCAGAGCTAAGCAGCACTGGTGCCCAGCAGCTGGTGCCCAACTGGACTCAGAGTGGCAGAGGCTGTGGAGTGCCAGGCAAACAGCAGGCTAGCAGGGTGGCAGCTGATGGAGCCAGGAGGGAGCAGAAGGGAGAGGCCAGGGTTTGGGGGGCTGTAGGGGGAAAGCATGCCTGGAGTGTAGATGGCTGAGGGAGCCCCTGGACACTGATTTTCTCATGCCTGCCCCCCTCTGTGGGACAGCCCGGCAGGGAGCCGGTAGGGAGCCAGCAGAGACACAGAGAGACGGCATCCTCCCCCAGACGGCCCGCAGACCCCTCCGGCACACTCCGTCCTGGGTGGAGAAGGCCCGAAGGACACGTGGGGAGCTGTCCTGCGGCCTGAAGCAGGGCCCTTCTCGCAGGATGCCCTCTGCCCCACGTGTGGAGGCCCAGGCCTCAGGAGCAGCTCCCCCACAGGCATCCCGCAGCGGCCCCTGTGCGGGCTTTGAGAAGGTTCGTCTCTGTGACCCGGCCTTGGTGGAAAGAAGTGGGCTAGCTGACGGGCTGGATGGGGCATGGAAAGATGACAGCTTCGGAGGCAGAGAGAACTCTCAGCCTCCTGGCCCCAGCGAGGCCTCCTGCTTGGGAGAGCAAGCTGACTGGAAGCCCCCTCCCTCTTCGGAGCGCAGCCCTGGGGCCCCTTAAGGGCTAAGGTGAGAGGTGAAGGGGAATGTGTCTTCTCTTGTGCTCCAGGCAGCCTGTGGAGATGGCAGGTGGCCCCTTGTTTGGCTCACTGGCTTGTAGGCGGAGAACAGGGATTGCCTCCTAAGGACAGAGCACTGGCGGCAGGAGCAGAGGGAGGGAGGAAGTGCCGTGAAATGACCAGGATGGAGCCCTCGCCCTGGGGAGTGCACAGCCCTTCAGCAGAGGAGGGAAAGGAGAGCTGAGCATGGGGCCAATCCCACCTGAAACCAGCCAAGCTGCTGAGAGCCAGGATCGGCAATCTTGTGTGTGTGTGTGTGTGTGTGTGTGTGTGTGGTTGCCCTTTGTTCACTCTGGGTCATGGCCAGCAATCACTGAAATTGCTGGCCATGACCCAGTCAGTCCAGATCATTTATAAATTTAGACCAATACCAGGAGATGGTTCTTAACATAGAACTTTATAAAGATGAATAAAAAAGGATTAGCCAAGAATGAAAACACAAAGGAAGAAACAGCTTCTACTGTTATGGGCAGAAGACAGATTCTCAGAGCGATATATAGGAAGAGGCAGGATAGTGGATGGGTAACAGCAGGTGAGTGTCAGGCCTGGGGCTGCCTCTTCCTGCCTGGGTGACCTCAGAGGAGTTACCTCATCTCACTAGGCCTCCATTTCCTTTCCTGTCCAAGGGAGGTAATTATAGCACCGATGAGTTCGATGAGTTCGGGAGGTTGGGAAGATTAAGTAAGGCTGTATGCAAATACCCTTAGCAGCATGGCTGGCACATAAATGCTCAGCCAAGATAATGTTATCATTGTGATGACGATTAGTGTTAGAGGAACAAAGTGCCAGCAGGGAGAGACCACACTGGGGACTTCAGGGCAATCAGAAGAGGCTTCATGGAGGAGGAGGCTTTGGAAGACCCTGCCCTGAAGGAAAGCTAGTTTTCAGATTGCTGATCGAACCATGCCCAATGATGCTGGGAAGGAAAGCAATACCAGATCTGTTCTTTCCCAAATAGCAAATTGTTTATCCACGGAAGTTCTCTAAGGAACGATTGGAGCCTAGTAAGAGTTTCCTTCTCTTGGGGGGTTCTAAAGTTTGAAGTACTGAGAACTTGACATAGTGAAGGAATCAGAAGTCTGACTCTGGTCACACCCTTCCTTGGGCCTGCAGTCTTGTCACGGGGTGGCCTGCTTTCCGGAAGAACTGTGTGCTAACGAGCCCCGTCTAACGCACGCGTGGAGGTGCTTCCTGCAGAAGGGCCAGCCTGGGGACCACAGCGATCTCCTTGACTACCATGACGTGACTTAGAAATGCCCAAGAATCATAAGGTTCAGACTCCGAGGCATTTTTCCTGGCCTGCCAAAGGGTTATTCTATGAATTTAAGAAAGATAATTCCAGGTTCCTGTTTACCTAGAACAGTGTTTCCCAAACTTTTTTTTTAAAATATATTTTATTGATTTTTAACAGAGAGAAAGGGAGAGAGATAGAGAGCTAGAAACGTCGATGAGAGAGTAACATCGAGGGTGTGAAGAGGCACCCCCTACCGGGGATGTGCCCGAAACCAAGGTACATGCCCTTGACCGGAATCGAACCCAGGACCTTTCGGTCTGAAGACTGACGCTCTACCACTGAGCCAAACCGGTTTCGGCCTGTTCCCCAAACTTTTGACATATGTACCCCTTCTATAATTTTTGTAATGCTGAGTACCCCTCGTACTCATGAGAACGTAGAATTAGGCGCAGCTAAGCCGGGTGCAGTGCATATCCCCACCAAACTCCGGTGCAACGCGTACCCCCACCAAACTCTTCCCCTGCCCCTGGGGGTACGCGCGTACCAGACTTTGGGAAACACTGACCTAGAACAAGGCAAACCCAGAACATGACAGACTTTCCTATCCTGGAGAATTAGCATACAAACAAAGAGACAAACAAACAAAAAAATGAGTTCCCTTATAATTACATGTGGCCTAATCAGCCCCAGCAAAGGGACACCCACACTGGCCAGCATTTTCTATAAAATCTCATGATGACAAATCAGGCAGTACAAAGACCCAAGTCTTTATAGAAAGACGAGGATGACTTTTTTGTACACCTATGGGTTCGCTGTGCCCCCTCGGAGTGCTGCGTCGTCAGCAAATGCTGGCACCTTCCTTGCCCAACCCTCAAAGCACTCAGGCCCCTGAGCCTCTGACTGAGGGGGTGGGGCAGGGCTCTGACCTGCACACTCAGGCTGCCCCAGGCCTGGAGCAGGGGCCTGTGGATGCTCAGAAAAGAAAGTCCAGAAAGCTCAGGTCAGCTGCTGCGTGGTTCTGGTTTCTGGTCCCAGTGCGGCAGCTGCCCTCCAGGCAAATAGCAACGAACCAGTCACCGTGCCCAGCTCCTGAAGGCTGCAGCAGCGGCAGGGTTAAAACTGGAAGGACTGGTTCTCTGGTTCAGCTTCCTGGCCTAGAGCCTCCAGCCTCCATTTTCTCTCTTTCGGCTTCAAATGAGGCTTTAAGTGGAGTTATGCAAAAAGGCCCAGGGCGTGTAGGGAGCCCCGAGACCCTTTATGCCACTGTCCCAGGTCAGGGGGTAGAAGCACAGAGGTGGAAAGGGCTGTTCCAGAAAGGAGCTGGCCTTGAATTGCTGTAACACATGCAAGCCAATGGATGTCCCTAAGAGTGTGTGATCCGGCCGCCTTCAGAGGGCAGAAGAGCCCCAGAGAAGGAAAGTGGGTCCTGGGAGCGCAGATGAGACAGGGAGCCGAAAGCCAGGACACAGGCTTTATTGGAGGAGAAGGACCCTGCCGCTGCCTGGCAAAGGGAGAGAGCACAGGTGCTGGGGTGAAGACGCCTTCTGAGGGGAGGAAAGGGAAGGGCTGGGGCTCAGGGTCCTCGGCACGTGCTGATTGGTGGTTTCTTATGAGGCACATGATTCAGCTCTTAGGGACTTAGGAATCGGGGCCTTAGGGTATTTGGCAGGTGCTGATTGGTGGTTCAATGTACAGTCCATATA